AGAGGGGAGGAGCTGCCTCTGAGCCTGGGCAGTTTTCTACTTCCATGGAGGTTATGTATGGTCTCTGCCACAGGGCCCCTGGCTCGTGTGGGGAGGGTGGTGGTCCTGCTTACACAACCCATCCTGAAAGGCTCTCGGGGCCCCAGAGCTGTCATCCAGGCAAGTGGGAGTTCTGGCTTCTCCTTCCAAAGCTTCACCCTCGATTAGCCAATGGGCTTTGAGTAATCATTCCACCTGCGAGCCTCAGTTTCCTTATCTGTCAGGGAGGCATCCTTCCCTCCCCTTCCTACTGACCTCAGTCAGATAATGGGTGTGTGTGTGTGTGTGTGTGTGTGTGTGTGTGTGTGCCTTGGCTCACACAACCAAACCACTGAACGACAGGGTGGAGCTTCTCCCAGCGTGGGGGATTAAAGATGTAATCTCTCAGCCAGAGCTCGCCCCTCTCTTGCTCATTGTGGCCTCTCGTCTTCCCCCCTCTCCAGCTCGGGTCTCAGTCACAACCTGCCTCAGCCCCCTAGAATTCTCCTACAAGAGGAAATGAACACTGTCAATTTTAAGTGACAAAATCTCTGTGTCAACATTAGGCCTAGGGGTGTGGTAGATGGGTAAAGATGAGGCATGCTAATTGGCCCAGTTTGGGTCACGTTCTCCTGCCTGGTCCAACCACTGTGATCTCTGATAATGAACTATTTTGACTGGTCCACTTGGGGATTGCTCTTACCCTGAAAGAGGGGGAACCTTGGTGAGATGTCCTGTTGAGTGCTACAGTGAATGTGCCCTCTAGGGCACTCGTCATTTTTTCTGTCTGTGTGTAAGACCCACCCCTGTGACTGGCATAGAGTAAGCATTGAACAGCCCTGGCAGTGAGCACACTCATAACCAAGATTACCTTGATGTGTGTATATGTTTATGGCCTCTGGGAGGCAGGACCTGGCTAGCTGGAGTTGGTTGCTAGTAGCTGGACTTTGAAATTGATATCTGAACCCTGGGTCTCGCCCTGGTGCTGTCTCTTCTCTTTCTTGATCTGCTACAGTCTGAACATCCTCAGGCACCTCCAGGCATCTTATTTAATAGTTGGTTATTTTATGCTTTAGAATTCAAGCCCCTTGCTGGGCGGTGGTAACACAACACCTTTAATCCCAGCACTTGGGAAGCAGAGGTAGATAGATCTCTGTGAGTTCAAGGCCAGCTTGGTCTACAAAGCAAGCTCCAGGACAGCCAAAAAATTCAAGCCTCTCAAAAGTGAGATACATTCAGTTTGTTTACTGTTGAGGCTCCAATGCCTAAGCATCTGGAACTAATAACTAGTCAATTAACACCGGTGGAAAGAGTGTGATCACTATCAGCTGTCTGGCACAGTGTCACCAGTAGGGACCTGCTCATTTCCAGTTTCCTGTTGTCTGTCTCCCTTCTTTCTTGTTCCTGTGGATACAAGCAAGTACTTGTTATCATTAATGAATGATGAACTTTATGTCTGGGACTTCATGTGTGTGTGCATGGGAAAGAGGCTGCATGTACCTGTGGGGGTCAGAGGTCAGATGTTGTTCCTCAGGTGCCTTCTGTTGTGCGGGATTGCTTTGGGGAAATTTGTTTTGTTTGGTTGGTTTGTTCGAGATAGGATGTTTACTGTTCTGAAAAATCGCCTAGTAGACTAGGCTGGCTGAGCAGGGAACCCCAAGGATCCTCCTGTTTCTGCCTCTAGGTGCTGGATTACAAGCCATCCCAGCTTCACAAAAAATATCATGTTCAGGGGCTGGAGAGATGGCTTAGAGGTTAAGAGCACTGACTGCTCCTCCAGAGGTCCTGGGTTCAATTCCCAGCAACCATATGGTGGCTCACAACCATCTGTAATGAGGTCTGGTGCCCTCTTCTGGCCTTCAGCCGTACACGCAAGGAGAATACTATATATGTAATAAATAAATAAATCTTTAAAAAAAATGTTCAGCAGGCACTGTAATGAGACACCTACCCAGCTGTGGGGACCTTGAATTTCTGCTACTAGTCACAATATTTAAGGCATTCCACGTGTGTGACTCTGCTCTGCCCCTGTTGTACGGAAGTCTATAGCAATCTTGGAGCTAGCTCTTTTTTTCTATTGAAACTGCTATGGGCACAGAAAACTGGCTTCCTTTACCAGAAGCAAAGGTCTTTTGTGTCAGTGCTATTGACAGAGCAGTTTGTGTAAGAACTCTTAAGAATCTACAGAAAGCCAGTCATCTTAGAAATGCCTCACGATAATACACTCCTTGTGTGTCACCTTCCAGGTTCCAGATGGCCTTAGAGTCCTGCTGACCTCATGGGATAACAGAGTGTTCTTTAGCAGCTTGGCGCCCGTGTGTTCTGTGCCCCTGGATATTGCTGTGACTTTCCTGGTGTACCCAATACTCAGTTTGTTCACATTGTGGTATTGCCGTTAGCTTTCTAGAAAGAGGCGAAGCCAAGATAACCAAGATTTGGGCTAGGTGTGATGGGGGATGCCTCTAATTACAGAACTCAAAAGAGTGAGGCAGGAGGATTGCCATGGGTTTGAGAACCAGTCTAGCCTTCATAGGAAGTCCCAGAATAGCTAGGGCTACATAGATTCTGCCTCAAAACCAGACAACTACATTTTTACCAGCCAGGCTCTTCTTTGTCACATTCGTTGCTGCCAAAGGCCCTACTGAAAAGTTAAAGTGTCATAGTGAACAGTGGGGTAAGTAGATGGTTGTGGGATTCTTATACCACCCCCATCCCGGGGCCACAGCCAAGTCCTTCCTTCTATAGCTTTATCTTCTACACAAGCGCCTGGCTCATCTCTCCACCCTTCCCACAGGCTCTGGAACCTGCTGGCTGGTGGCTTCCCACACCTACAAGTGCAGTGGCTTGGGGACTGAGCAGCTGGCAGGTGCAGCTCTTCGCTGGGTGCCACCCTCAGGGGAGGAGCTGGCTCTCCTTGGTTTCTTGTGTTGGCCTGCACTTAATAGCTCAGGGAGGCCTCAGGTCCTATGCACAGAGTGTTCCACTGAGTTGTAGAAGGCTTGGGGAGGTGAGGCATGTCACCCATGTCTACTCATGCACCCTGAGTCCTGGAAAAAAACTCACTCATGAGTGCTTTTGCATCTGTTAATTGCTTCTGCATGACTGTGGCCAGAACACCCATGAAATGACTTGAGGGTTGAAAGTTTTATTGAGCATTTGGGTCCCTCGTGGCAGGGAAAGCATGGCTGGGGTGGCAGGGGCATGCAGAGAGGGCTGTTCACTCTTTGGCCGACCAGGAAGCAGAGGAAGTGGAACCAAATCAGGAGCCTGGAACCAGAGATCACGTTTAAAAGTCCACCTCTAGGGATATACTTCTGTCACCCGGGCACGGCTACCCAAAGGTTCTACAGCCACTCCAGACAGTGCCACTGCCTGGCCAACAAGGAAGCTGAACAGGAGCCCGTGGGGGAATGTGTTAGATTCAGACCATAGCAATGTCCCCACTAGGGGTGTGGTGTCTGGACCTGGGACAGGAGGACCCATTTTGTCTTCTTTTAAAGCAAGTCTAATGGCCTCCATTAAATTGGGGATAAAAAGAAAAGCCGGTTCAGTAGGTGTCAACCAAGACTGTCCCCAACAAAGGAAAGCCTGTAGCCACTCCACCCTCAGACCCGGACACTGTCCCAGGTTCATCCTGGTAAGGGGCAGCTCTTTCCTCAGGCTCTTCACAGCTTGGCATGTGTCTGGGGCTCCGAGGAGACGCTCTCAGTCCATGGTCAGCCTAAAGTCCACCCACCCGTGCTGGAAAATCCCATTTGGTACCGCTTCCCGGCAGCTCAGGGCTCTTGCTGTTATCTACAACCTCAGCCCTCTATTTGCTCTGATCATAGGTTCAGAAAGGCCCGAGAGCCAGTAGGAGTTCCCCCTCCCCTGGAGCCCCACTCACAAATACTGGCACTAACTCTGCTGTAGAAGTCAGCTAGTTTCCCCTGAGCCTGAAACTTCTACAGACAGCGGTTTCCAGTGCAGAACGAGGCAGAGCAATGCAGAGTGCCGCAGAGTGCTGCAGAACAATGCAGAGTGCTGCAGAGTGCTGCAGAGCAATGTAGCTCTCACCCATGCTGTTGTGATGAGGGCATTGGCTCACTGGAGGCCATAGTGAGGAGCGCTTGCCCTTGAGATGACTATTGTACCTCTCAGTCTCTAGGGACAGAGGGAGGAGATTTTAATCCATCCGTCCATCCATCCATCCATCCATCCATCCTCCCTTTTTTCCCGACAGGATCTCACATATCCAGAATTGACCTCTATGTAGCCAAGGATGACCTTGAACTTCTGGTCCTTCTGACTCTACCTCTCAAGTGATGGGGTTGCAGGTGTGTACTACCATACCGAGTTTATATAGTGTTAGGGATCAACCCCCGGGCCTCATACATGCTAGGCAAGCATTCTCTCAACAAGGTGACAGCTCTGGCTCTGTGCCCCATTCTCTAATATTCCACTTCCACTGTGGTTGAATCTCTAGTGGGATCCCCGCTCCCTCCAAGAAGGGAGTCCCAGGGGGTAGAAGGATTCTGCCACTGCTCTGTCAGCTCAGGACTACAAGAACTACCTTTTCCTGCCCAGCTTTTCTGAATCAGTCCCCTCCAGGCTGGTTTGATGGGTGCTCCATTGGCTGAACCTGGCTGGGCTGGTGGTCTACTTATGGAGGTGTGCTATCGCCCCCTGTCAAACCAGTGGCAGAAAGCTTGGGTAGATGTCTGCATGAAGGCACAGTGCCCCAGGGAAAGAGCCCAGACCCAGAAGCCTTGAGCGCCGGCTGTCCTTTCTTCAGCTCTGTCTCTGGGTGGCTGACCTACCTGACCTTGCTCCATCTCTCTCCCGGCATGCTCTGTAAGACCTTACACCACATGTACATCCAGGGAAGGAGAAACCCAGGGCGTGTTCTGCTCAGGAGACCTCTGTGGTCCCACTGAAAGAAAGGTCTGGCCTAGCTACCCTTTCCCACCACACAGTGGTTTCCGAGACAGAGAGAGCACGAGAGTGGCTTTGTTTCTTTTAATCATTAGGAGCTCTGGTCTATGCCAAGCATGTCCACGCTACTTCTCTCACAGGTCCTTAGGCGGTAGTCATCGGCCTCCTACTTCTTAGCTTTGCCTTTCTTTCCTTTATTGGCTTTACTAGCCTTAGGAGAGTCCTCTAGGGCCGCCTGGCCAGCGGTGATACAGGGAAGCAGGGGTGGAGGAGCACTGAGGCTCAGTGTTTTCTTCTGCAGCCTCAGGTCCAGGATGTCAAAGGCCGCCTGGATCTCGTACTGTAGAAGCTCCTGCAGGCATGCGATCTGGATATGGATGGCCTCGCTGACCAGACGCTCCAGAGCCTGCAGGACACACACCCGTGAGCATGCTTGGAGGACAGCCAAAGCCCATCCTCCCACCGACAGCTGTGGCTCCCCAGAGTGGTGGCCCTCCTCTGTGGACGTCGCCACCTACCCACCAGCTCTCTCCCTTCCCCGGTCAAGTCCTGGGGAGCAATCTCCGTGTGTGTGTGTGTGTGTGTGTGTGTGTGTGTGTTTGTGTGTCATTTGCCCCTCACATGGTTCTGGGACCAGAGGCCAGGACCAAGTCATGCTCCACATGGCCATAGTGAGCTCCTCCCACCTCTCTACTGTCCTTACATCGCACAGTCCTGGTGACTTCATTGGAGGGGACAGGCAGGACTTTAGAGAATGGGGTTAACTTTGGACCAGTCCACGACAGGAAGAATATGAGCTCAACCCCCATTTTCCATCCTAGCATGACACACTGTGATTCCCTTCACATTCCTGACCCTATAGTATTCTAGAGCTATGACAGAGAAGTTATGCATGATATCTGGGAGTGATGAGGGATAAACATTGGGATATATATTGTTTATAATACATACTTAAAATCTGGTATCCAGTTTACTCCAGAATATTCCTTGGATTTTATCTCAATATAAAACTCATGTTCTTCTCCAGATCTTTAGAGAAGGACTGAATGCTACAAAGATGCTCATTTTCCCTGTGGTAATGGTTGTTGAATGCCTTTCTCGGGCTTACTGCCAGGGCTCCCAAGCTTTTCTGGAGAGCCCCATGGAAGATTAAAAGGGAACTGAGAGGCATGGTAGGACAGGGGCTGGTATTTGGCAGCCCTCTCCTGCCCTAGCTACAGACTCCACAGTATCCTAGAGCACGGTCCTTTAAGAACCTGGAGACAAGCTGTCACTAAGCTTCCTGGACCCCCATTGAATGTCTGCTGTTGTTGTTTTGTGACAGAGTCTCATGTAGTTAAGGCTGGTCTTGAACTCCTGATCCTCCTACCATCACCTCCTGAGTAGTAGATCATAGGTGCACACCACCATGCCTGACTGCCTACTTGAGATGTCTTAATGTACTTAGCATGTCTTGTCCTGTTACTATGTATCAGGAGCCTTAACCCTGGATGAGTATCATCCAACCTGTTGGGTTATTATTTTAGCAGTTTCTCAAATATCATTTTGAACTTCATGGGGAATACTTTGGGCCACATACCAGAAGCCAAAACTAACCAAACAACAAACAGGACAGGACCCCTTCGATACAATCTTGCAACTACCTCTCCTGCTGTGTCTATGCTTCTCTCTCTCTCTCTCTCTCTCTCTCTCTCTGTCTCTGTCTCTGTCTCTGTCTCTCTCTCTCTCTCACACACACACACACACACACACTCAGCCCTTCCAGTCTTCTCTGGGCCAGCCACTCACACACCTTCCCTAGGTCTCCATGAGGACTATTCTGTTTGCAGACAGAGGGCAGCTCAAAGGTTTATGTTCCCTTTGTGACTCTCTCAGTGGAATCTGTCACCAGTCAATGACACGGAGGGAAAACCTCTGACTTCAAGGTCTGCAGGCCTCTACTAACTGTGAACTCGACTTCACAGTACCTTGAAGGCATGAGGCAAATGACATTCTTTAACCTCATTATTGTCATCACGAAAATGGGGGCATGAGTTTCTACTCTGCAGGGACGCTGTTCAAGGATGTGCATGCCAAGTCTGTGGGAGATGCTAGATGCCCATATGGGACTCTGTCCCCACTACCAGGGCAGACAGTGAAGGAGGCCTGTGTGTTAGCCGAGTCTGCTGTGTCTCAGAGATCCTGGGGCTGGCAGGCAGAGCCTCACCTCCCTCCTCAAGGTCGGACGGGGCTGCAACTGCCCTGGAGCCTCCTCGACCCCGAAGGCCTTCTGCAGACTGTGTGCCTGCTCCAGGCTCAGCGTCTCCTTCAGCATTAGCATGTTTGTGCGCGTCTGTGCCTCAGCTGTGCTCAGTTCAGCCACCTGCTGCTCATGACTCCACACATCCCGATCTGTGCCGTCTGTCAGTGGCAGGGGCTGGGGTGGCGCACACATTTGCACGTGGGCAACGGTCAGGTTGACTTCCTGGTCCCGGCTCAGGACATACTGGTAGAGTCGATAGTGTCGGATGAAGGTGTTGTGGAAGTAGTCACAGAGGGCCAGCAGGTGGGTGACGTTGAACTGCTTCTGATAATCTCGGAGCTTGTTCCCTAGGACTGCCACAGCCTCCGTGATGGAGCAGCCTGGAAGTACAGAGGCATAGGGAACAGAGTATAAATTGGACTGTGAACCTGGGTCCAACCTCAGAACCTGCATCCCGACTCTGCTTCTCCAGCCACTCATTAGCTCCCAAGAGCTCAGGGGTGAATCTCATTTCCCACTTTATTTTGGTTTCCGGGAAGCCCACGACGGATCTTCTGCAGTAAGTTGTATGTATGGTGTTTTCCCTATAGGACTGTTCCATCCGTCTGTCTTTCAACTCTGCTCTGACTTGCTTCAACTTCAGATTCCTCAGGATGGGGAAAAGGGAGTACCAAGGGGTTTCTGCTGTTTGTGGGAAAGAAGGTGGCTGAAGATGTATACAGGTAACCTTTATACTGGGGACTTGGGACAGAGTTGGACAAATAGTGTTGACCTCACACAGAGAGTCAGCTATGAGAACAGCGTCAAGGATGTCACTACTCAGAGAGGGAGCATTCTCTCCTGTCCCTTCCCTTGCCCAAACCCTCTAGTCGCCTCAGGCAATGGATGGAGGCAGACCTCCATCCAGGCTGTCTGGACCTGACACAGGAATTGGTACCCAAAGAGTCATGGCAGAAGACTGTGCAGGTCCTGGGTAAAAGGTCAAGATATGACTTAAGAACATGGCCCTCCTACAGCCAGGAGAACCTGTTCTCACAGCCCTATGGCTAAACACTGAACTTGCTCATAGCTCTCCTGCCCTCCTTTGCAGGAGACCACTGGGCCACATACACTGAGAAACCACGTCGGTTAGCGGCCACGAAAATCAAGTGCACAACACCAGAGTCTGGCTTTTTCCCGAAGCTGGAGTGACTCCTCTGCATATCTCTTCCTTATTTCCCTGCTTTAGGGGAGTTCTCACTTCTGCCCTCCCCCATCTCCTACAGGGGTGACTTGGCTCTGCCCGGAGGGTGGTGCTGAAAGCCCCCTACCTTAGTTCCTCACTCACTCTGTGCTCTCAAAAGGCTCTGTTGCTCTATGTGGGAATACTGACCGTCATCTCCTCACCCCAAGGACCAGGAGATGAGGCAATGTTGCCTTAGAAACAGCAGGTAGACAGGGCCCTGCTTTGCTGAAAGCCTCCTTAATACATGCTGGGAACATTGTCCGGTGTATTTTTACATTTATGTGGCTGTGACCAAGACCAACAGAATCAACTGAAAGGAAGAAGGGCTTGTTGTCTTTCAACACGTTTTTGGAGGGCTTTCCATTTGTCACAGTAGGGAAGGCGTGGAAGGCCAGGTAGAGAGGCTCTATCTGTGGCAGTTTCTGCCTGAGGCAGATGCGAGTCATGTGATAGTGGACCAGAAAGAATATAGTGTCCAGGGCTGGGACAGACATTGAAGACCACCTTTAGAGGTACAAGCTTAGTACCTTAGTCCCACTGCCTAAAGAGTGCACAGAACTCACTGGGCAGTGAGTCCAAACACAAGTCTTTAGGGAACATTTCAGATTGAAATTGTTAATGTCTGGTCTCTGCAGGTGAGTGGGGAAGGGAGCTGGCTATAGGCTGGAGCCTGGCGCAGGCAGACCCCTTCATTCAGAGTAGAACAGACTCAGCACTGAGAGTTATGCTGCTGTCTCCAGGGAAGGTCCTGACTTGGAGGCCCAAGACACTCTGTCCCACCCTAGCTGGGACAGCTTTGGTTTGAATGTCAAGTTGAGGGCTGCATATATTTACTTCAAAGGCTTGTTGGAGGACCCTGTGAGCTAAAATACTCATCCACCTCTGCTGGAGCTACAGGGGAGCAAGGCGCAGATGCTACAGGGGTGGAAGAGTTGTGCTAGCCATTTGAGAAAAGTCTGCCTCCCTCCTCCATCCCTCCTGTCTCCCTCCTCCCTCTTCTCGCCATTCCTTCCTGAATCTCCCTTCCCTCCCTTCCTCCTCCCTCCTGTCTTCCTCCCTCCCTGTGTCCCCATCTTGTCTTGCTTTCCTTTCTGAGATCCCTCCCTTCCCCTTTCACAAGGTAAATCTGTCAACTGTTGTTGAGTCTATGAGCAGCCACTGTCTGTCCTTCGAGGAGGTGTTGTATTGGGTGCACACATCCCTGCCATGAAGTGTGGATAAGAGAAGCCATTGCCATGTTGTTCAACAAGGAAGAAGAGAATTTGGCCAGAGGAACACTCGGAGGGGAGCTCTCTGAGCAGAGGGGGTTGGGCAAGTGGCTTAGTTCTGGCTGAAAGGGGCAGAGCTAGGCAGGGACAGGACGGTCAGTTCAGGATGGAGAGAGAGCTGGGCAAATAACAGTATGGTCCAGGTTGGAGCAAGTTTGGGTCCAAAAATGGTAAAGGCAGATAGATGGCAGCAACTGTTGGTGGAAAAGTAGACAGCAAGCAGATGGGAGGGACCCATGGGCTTTGTTTTCAGCACGAGACATTTGGAGCATCTGAGTAGCAGGCTGGAGGTGAGCAGAAATGGGTTCTTGGCGTGAGAGCAGGATGGCTGTGAGCGGGAGCAATAGGCCATGATGGAGAGAATGGTGCATTTGGAGGACTGTCTGGGAGCAGGTGCAGGTCTGGCTCACCAACCCGAGGTTCTTGGCAGCACCTTGGGAACAGTGACTCTACCAATGCCTAGTGTCCCTTGCTGCCCTATTCTTGTCAGATCTGCGTGTCTGAGTAGGGAAGACTCCTCCACTGCAAGGACAGCTGATGGATAACAGCAGCATCCCCTGGGAGCACAAGGAAGGGAGTACCTGCCCTCTGAGGAGCAGCTTGGCCCCTCATCTGCTACCGGCCTGGGTCCAGAAGCCAACCCAGCTCCCTCTTGCTGTGCCCTCCTGGGCTGGTGTGTCACCTTTGTCCATTGCCTTTGGGCTTACAGCTTTAGTTCCGCACAGTGGGAAGGGGATGGTGGAACGGGACAGTCAGTGGTGTGTGAGTATTGTCGCCGAGGCTGTCAGATATGGTGGAGGCTCTCGAAGCAAGCTGAGAATGGACCCAGAGGCAGAGGCAGGCGTCCCCTCAAAGGCTCTCTCCTCATGACCACTTCCACCCAATCTACTCCTCCTAGAGACACCACAGCCTACAAAACAGGGCCAGACCTGGGACTAAGTACTCAAAATAAAAACCTGTAGCAGACGCTCCATGTTCAAATCCTAACATCATTCAGATTTCCTGGCCTCTTCCTGTCTTGCCGTTCTATTGTGCTCCTTTGACACACACACACACACACACTTAGTCTTCTTTCCTCTTTCAGTTTAAAAATCTTATCATACGAGCCACATAAGGGTATTTTCATGCAAGTCCATAATGCACCTTAAATAACCCCCATACTCTATGACCTTCCCCCCTCATCCTTTCCTCTCCATCAGCCCCCTAGTCAGTATTGTTTCCGTTTTCATGTCCTCTGCACATGTATGACTTTAACTCTACAATAGCCACATGAGACAGAAACAGGATAGACTGAGGACCCAGACAGAAACCCAGGCAGCTAGAACAAAAGACTCTAAAAGAATACATTGGTGAAAAGACAACTCCTCCAGTCAACAATGCTCACAAATCTAGGAATCCACGTACAGAATGGGACTAGATTCCTATCTCTTGCACGTTGGTTTATCAAAACTCCCAGTGAGTCAGAGGGAAGCACTTTCAATGCAACAAAAAGTATCTGAGCTTTAACCAAGCTCCACCAATGGCCCTCATCCTTAAATTAAATTAAATTAAAATTTCTTTGTCTGGGTTTCTTGAACATCACATACATCCTGGTCAGTGGAAAGGAAGGGCTAGACCCAGTGGGAGCCCCTGTCTGTGCCCTCTCAGCCCTACATTTTAGAATCCTTAGGAACTTTCTGGGATGCAGATAGCTCCCCCCCACACACAGCCATGCCCCATCTACATCAGAAGATGAAGACTGGCTCCCAGGGCAGGTTTCTTTTAGTATTTCTTCCTTGTATCTGGGATCAGAGCCACGGGATCCCAGCCTCCGGCAGAGGGGCTACCGAGCAGGATGAAGGGCAACCAGCAAGAATACATGCAGAGCCTCCACCCTCGGCATTCACTTCTGGGTGACCTACCCGCTGTTGGGGCCTTTTCGACATATGCGTGGGTCTGGGCTGCTCATATTCGTAGGCATATTGGCAGATTCGCTTCTGCTTTTGGAGGGGGTGGTAGTGGTTGAATACGATGTGGGCTAGGCAGTGTTGGCTTTGGGAGCAGGTGTGGGCAAAGATGAGGGCACAGGTATGCGAAAATTACCTAAGCAAGAATGGAGGGTGCATGGATAAATACCCGCTGTCCATGCGGGGCCCAGGATGAGAAAGGCGGGGAGTCCAGAGGGGCTGGACAGAGGATGGATGGGTGCTGAAGAAAAGGCGGGAAGGGGTTCCTGTAGCATAGAATCCTTATGTTCCTCCAAGATAACCCCCTCGGGGGTAGGGAAGCAAAAACAAGAAGCAAGAGGTTGAGCAGGCTTCAGACTGAGATGATAGCCAAGTAGAGGGACTACCAGGAAGACATTGTTTCTGTCCATGAAAGCTGGCCTGTGTGTGAACAGTCACGAGGGGACCCATCAGGACTCCTCTAGGCTCCTCACAGTGAACCTGCCAGAAGGTTACTCTGTTCTGCGTGCAGCCTGCCTTGGCCTGGCGGTACACAGGGTGGGGAACCTGTCCCCCTATGTGGGTGGCCGTGTCTGCTGTTTTCTCCAAGGCCATCCCACCCTCTGCATCCTCAGCAGCCACACACGACATCTGTGAGGCCCCATCATATGCCGATCTTCCCACGATTTGTCGTACGGCTTTCTTGACAGATAGTGCAACCTTTGCCTGGGTCAATGGGAAGAATCTGACTGGTCAAATTGGTCAACTGGCTGAATTTGAACTCTACCAGAGATACTGCCTGGGCTCAGGAGACCTCGTCCCTCGCTGCCGTGAGCTGCACACTCTGCTCCCTGCGTCCCAGTGACTCAGCACCGAGGGATTAAGCGGTAGAAGTCTCTGGTAGAGGCAGGCAGAGCTGGGCCTGCACATTGCTCTTCAATAACAGGGAGTGGCCTTCATTT